ATATGGCCAAAAATAACCCACCAGGGATATAACCCTTATCACTGACAATCAAAGTGAAAGTTAATGCCAAATTTTGGGTTGTCCCCAGAACGTGGGAACAGAGGGAAAATCTTCCAATGGGCACAACCAAGGATTCCCGCACTTTGGAGGGATTTTCTCTGTTTTGGCTATGGCACAGGAAGTGCAGCGAAATCTCCCCAATGGGACACGTATGGCCAAAAATAACCCGCACGGGATATAACCCTCCCTTTTCTATACAAATTGAAAAAAATGGCTTTAGTTCTACTTTACAAAGTAATTTCACTTTACCAAAAAGCGTAAAGCCGCATAGTGTGACAAACCTACATTCCAGCCAGGGCACCCTTTCCATTCAAAGAATGTAGACCAAAACCATAATAAGGAGAAGCCTTCTCAAAATCTTCTACAGACTGATATTGGCTCCATCCCCAGTTATTGTAGGGATGGAGCAGCTGTTGAGACCAGTGCTGATGATTCTGTAAAAAAAAACAAAAATGGCGGCATGGGCTGGTGAATTGTAGGGGGACCGAGCAGTAAGACTTGGGAGACAAGGAGAACAGAGGGATGCCATCAACTTCATTGGTTTTGCTACATATACTGTATATCTTTGGTGAGATGTTTAAATTATTGATGTTTATTCACCCAATCTTTCAACCCTCTGTCTGGTGTTTATTTCTGTCTGTGCCCCTGGTGGGGAAATTCAACTTCTCTATTTGTCCTGTTGACCCTTATCATTGACAATCAAAGTGGAAGGAAATCCCAAATTTCGGGTTGTCCCCAGAACGGGGGAACAGAGGGAAAACCTTCCAATGGGGACTCTAGTACTGGTGAAAACCAGGGATTCCCACACTCTGGAGGGATTTCCTCTGTTTACATATGGCCAAAAATAACCCGCCAGGGATATAACCCTTATCACTGACAATCAAAGTAAAAGTTAATCCCAAATTTCGGGTTGTCCCCAGAACGGGGGAACAGAGGTAAAATCTTCCAATAGGGACAACCAGGGATTCCCGCACTGTGGAGGGATTTCTTCTGTTTTGGCTATGGGACCGGAAGTGAAGAGAAATCTCCCCAATGGGACACATATGGCCAAACATAACCCACCAGGGATATAACCCTTATCACTGACAATCAAAGTGAAAGTTAATCCCAAATTTCGGGTTGTCCCTAGAACGTGGAAACAGAGGGAAAATCTTCCAATAAGGACAACCAGGGATTCCCGCACTGTGGAGGGATTTCTTCTGTTTTGGCTATGGGACCGGAAGTGAAGAGAAATCTCCCCAATGGGACACATATGGCCAAAAATAACCCACCAGGGATATAACCCTTATCACTGACAATCAAAGTGAAAGTTAATGCCAAATTTTGGGTTGTCCCCAGAACGGGGGAACAGAGGGAAAATCTTCCAATGGGACAACCAGGGATTCCCGCACTTTGGAGGGATTTCCTCTGTTTTGGCTATGGCACAGGAAGTGCAGGGAAATCTCCCCAATGGGACACGTATGGCCAAAAATAACCCGCACGGGATATAACCCTCCCTTTTCTATACAAATTGAAAAAAATGGCTTTAGTTCTACTTTACAAGGTAATTTCATTTTACCAAAAAGCGTAAAGCCGCATAGTGTGACAAACCTACCTTCCAGCCAGGGCGCCCTTTCCGTTCAAAGAATATAGACCAAAACCATAATGAGAAGCCTTCTCAAAATCTTCTACAGTCTGAGATTGGCTCCGTTACCAGTTATTGTAGGGATGGAGCAGCTGTTGAGACCAGTGCTGATGATGCTTTAAGAAAAAAAAAAATGGCGGCATGGGCTTGCGAATCCAATTGGGACCGAGCAGTAAGACTTGGGAGACAAGGAGAATAGAGGGATGCAATCAACTTCATTGGTTTTGCTACATATACTGTATATCTTTGGTGAGATGTTGATATTAGTGATGTTTCTTCACCCAACCTTTCATTTTTTGTTGTGTTTGTTGAGTTTTGCACTACACGTGGGTGGAAGTCCTTTCATGAAAAAGATGGCACCTCTTTATGTGCGTATGTAGCTAACTGCTTGGCTAAGATTGGAGAGTAAGAGAAACACTGGCTGTAGCTGCACTCTGACATGTGGTGCTGAACAGGTTAACAGCTAAATCAGCCAGAGGAGGGAACTGCTGAACAGCAAGAGTTCAATAGACTGAGTCAGGCAACACTGCACTGTGGGAACTGTAGTCCAGAGGAGAGACTCTACTGTAATCAAGAGCTTTTGAAGTGCATTTCCCAGAGAAGGCTTGCTAGGAGGAAGGGAAAGAGCTGCATTTTGTACAGGACACAGCTTGCTCTTGCTATGGGGGAGAGTGGAGACTGCACTTCGCTGTCCAATGTGCACCATCACTGCTGCATATCAGCGGCCTGAGCGGGATCCAGAGTTCTGATTCCAGGTGTGCCGACAGCCAGAGTCACCTGGGTGCAGAGCAGAGGGTGGACTAAGGCTGGCCATACATTATACAATTTTCTTGAGAATTTTGCTTTAGATTGACCAAAAACCATATAATATGAGGTCAAACCTAAACAACACTTTCAATTTTATCCAATTAGGCAGGCCCTTGCTACTACATAGTTGAAGGTAAATATAAAGGAAATTGGGCAAAAATTGGACAAAAAATTTATAAGAAAATTTTTTTAGTGTATGGCCAGCCTAAGTGCTGTGTGTGTGACTGCATGGCGAGCTGCTATATTGCTGGGACTGGTGAGCTTTTGCTGTAGGAATTTACTATCTGCTTCCAATGAGCCCTCTAGGATCTAATTATACAGCCATCTAGTAGCCGTATTGCCACCTGCAAGCTTGACTGGGACTAGTCTCATGTGAACCAACATAACAACTGGGCCCCAATGCTAGCCGGCTAAAGAATTAGGAATAAAGATCCCTTTACAGCTGCTAAACAGAGACCTTCACCTATTGCTTATGCTAAGAGGTACCTCTCAGCGTACATTGCACCATATCCTAGCAATTCTCCCAGAGTGCACTCTAGACTAGTTATGGCGTTATTATTCAAATTTCAATTGAAGGGTTATATGTACTGTTTATTGCTGATTTATGAATTATTCCCAGTCTAGTGCTCATTTATGCTCAAACCACCATTTATTCAAAATCTAAACCATACCAAACGGTCTTGTATCTATCTATCCTAATACGAGTTCACAGCCGTGTTTAACCACTTCTCGTCCGGCCGTTGTATATAAACGGCCAGACGGTGGCAGTGCAGGGGCGGGTGGATGTTTATAAACGGCCTCCTCGCCCCCTGCTTGCGTGCGCTCCCCGAGAGCGCGCAGCACCACGATCCGGTGCCCGCTGTGTCCTCCGGACACAATGGAACACCAATCGCTGTACGGGACCTCTGTGCGAGGTCCCGATCATGTGATCATTTATTGGCCAATCAGTGATCACATGATTAGCAGTAAGCAAGATGTCACGTGTGACATCATTGCTTACTACTTTTGAAATCTGTGAATGATCACAGAGATCACATGGACAGGGCTATTCACAACAGCATTGTACCATGTGACAAGCTGTGACCAGTCACAGCTCTCACAGTAGTTCTCAATGGCTGCAAGAATGCAGCTAGAGAGAGGAAAAATTATTGCTTTTACGGCCTTTATGGGTGTAAAAGCAGTCAGTGTAAAAAAAAAAATCTTCATCACCCCCCACAAGTAGTACAGTGTCACCATGGTATCACTGTACTGCTAGGGTGACAGTATGTAAAAAAAAACAAAAATAATAATATAAAAAAAATAAAAATGTAAAAAAAAATGTTTAAAAATTATAATTTTTGGTTATAAACTAATTTGGGTTATTTATTTTTTTTATTAAAAAGATAACGGAATACATTTTGGCCAAGATTTATGAAGAAAGATTATTTGCAAAATTTTAAGAGAAAAAACACTTTTTTAAAAAATTGTTGGACTTTTTCATTTACATAGCAAAAAAAAGTAAAAATCCCAGTGGTGAATAAATAACACCAAAATAAAGCTTCATCTGTCTCAAAAAAAAAATGCTAACAAATTCATATGGATACAGTGTTGCATGACCGCGCAATTGTCATTCAAAATGTGATAGCGCTGAAAGCTGAAAATTGGCCTGGACTGGAAGGGGGTGAAAGTGTCCGGACTGGAAGGGGGTGAAAGTGTCTGGACTGGAAGGGGGGTGAAAGTGTGCGGACTGGAAGGGGGTGAAAGTGTCCGGACTGGAAGGGGGTGAAAGTGTCCGGACTGGAAGGGGGTGAAAGTGTCCGGACTGGAAGGGGGTGAAAGTGTGCGGACTGGAAGGGGGTGAAAGTGTCCGGACTGGAAGGGGGGAAAGTGTCCGGACTGGAAGGGGGGGAAAGTGTCCGGACTGGAAGGGGGTGAAAGTGTCCGGACTGGAAGCGGGGGAAAGTGTCCGGACTGGAAGCGGGGAAAGTGTCAGGACTGGAAGCGGGGAAAGTGTCCGGACTGGAAGGGGGGGAAAGTGTCCGGAATGGAAGGGGGGGAAAGTGTCCGGACTAGAAGGGGGTGAAAGTGTCCGGACTGGAAGGGGGGAAAGTGTCTGGACTGGAAGGGGGGGAAAGTGTCCGGACTGGAAGGGGGGGAAAGTGTCCGGACTAGAAGGGGGTGAAAGTGTCCGGACTGGAAGGGGGTGAAAGTGTCCGGACTGGAAGCGGGGGAAAGTGTCCGGACTGGAAGCGCGGAAAGTGTCCGGACTGGAAGGGGGGGAAAGTGTCCGGACTGGAAGGGGGTGAAAGTGTCCAGACTGGAAGCGGGGAAAGTGTCCGGACTGGAAGGGGGGGAAAGTGTCCGGACTGGAAGGGGGGGAAAGTGTCCAGACTGGAAGGGGGTGAAAGTGTCCGGACTGGAAGCGGGGAAAGTGTCCGGACTGGAAGGGGGGGAAAGTGTCCGGACTGAAAAGGGGGGGGGGAAGTGTCTGGACTGGAAGGGGGGGAAAGTGTCCGGACTGGAAGCGAGGAAAGTGTCCGGACTGGAAAGGGGGGAAAGTGTCCGGACTGGAAGGGGGGGGGAGTGTCTGGACTGGAAGGGGGGGAAAGTGTCCGGACTGGAAGGGGGTGAAAGTGTCCGGAATGGAAGCGGGGAAAGTGTCCGGACTGGAAGGGGGTAAAAGTGTCCGGACTGGAAGGGGGGGAAAGTGTCCGGACTGGAAGGGGGGGGAAAGTGTCTGGACTGGAAGGGGGGGAAAGTGTCCGGACTGGAAGGGGGTGAAAGTGTCCGGACTGGAAGGGGGGGAAAGTGTCCGGACTGGAAGGGGGTGAAAGTGTCCGGACTGGAAGTAGGGAAACTGCCCGGACTAGAAGGGGGGGGGGGAAGTGTCCAGACTGGAAGGGGGGGGAAAGTGTCCAGACTGGAAGGGGGGGAAAGTGCCCAGACTTGAAGGGGGGGGGAAGTGTCCAGACTGGAAGGGTGGGAAAGTGTCCGGACTGGAAGAGGGGGAAAGTGTCCGGACTGGAAGAGGGGGAAAGTGTCCAGACTGGAAGGGGGTAAAAGTGTCCGGACTAGAAGGGGGGGAAAGTGTCCGGACTTGAAGTGGTGAAGGGATTCCTTGTAAATGCAGTAACATTCATTCAACCAGGTGTTTCAGAGGGGCAGAGGGTGTTCCTGGAGTCGAGGCGGAGAACAGAGAACCCAAATTACTGAGCGGCTCCTAAACATAGTGGCGCTCGATTCGGGTTGATGTTATTTATTTGATTCTGTGAGGAGCAGAAGAAATGAAACCATTTGAGGTTTGCTGCCTTGGAGACAGAACATTTCACAAGAAAAAAGAGATTGATTGAGAAATAATTGCTTGTAATAGCAGATAAATGTGTGAACATTTTTTTTTTTACGTTTTAAAAGAAAATTATCATTAGATCGATGAACATGGCAGAAGAGGAGTTTAATATATAAGTACAGTTGTCCTTAAGCAAAGTCTTTGTCCTGGAAGGACCGTGGTTATAAATCAGTTATATGAGTGTTTGTGATCAACTCTGAGTTCAGCAGGAGACAAGTTGGAGTTCCATCCCGACTTTCCGCCTGACACCCCAGCGTCAACAAGAATAACGACTCATTCTAAAAATATTCAATAATCCCTGGGAGGTACCGCTGCATTATTATAACACATCAAGAGCAGAGATTCAGATTACTACAATCAGGACTTTAGACCCCGTTCACATATGGGCAATTTGGAATCCCAAATCACCTTCAACAGGAACGCAAGTTCACACTACGCATATAGGCCTTCAGCAGTAACGCAAGTTCACACTACACATTGGCCTTCAACAGGAACGCAAGTTCACACTACGCATAGGCCTTCAACAGGAACGCAAGTTCACACTACACATTGGCCTTCAACAGGAACGCAAGTTCACACTACACATTGGCCTTCAACAGGAACGCAAGTTCACACTACACATTGGCCTTCAACAGGAACGCAAGTTCACACTACACATTGGCCTTCAACAGGAACGCAAGTTCACACTACACATTGGCCTTCAACAGGAACGCAAGTTCACACTACACATTGGCCTTCAACAGGAACGCAAGTTCACACTACGCATAGGCCTTCAACAGGAACGCAAGTTCACACTATGCATAGGCCTTCAACAGGAACGCAAGTTCACACTATGCATAGGCCTTCAACGGGAACGCAAGTTCACACTGCACATAGGCCTTCAACGGGAACGCAAGTTCACACTATGCATAGGCCTTCAACAGGAACGCAAGTTCACACTATGCATAGGCCTTCAACAGGAACGCAAGTTCACACTACGCATTGGCCTTCAACAGGAACGCAAGTTCACACTACGCATTGGCCTTCAACAGGAACGCAAGTTCACACTGCACATAGGCCTTCAACGGGAACGCAAGTTCACACTATGCATAGTCCTTCAACGGAAACGCAAGTTCACACTACGCATAGGCCTTCAACGGGAACGCAAGTTCACACTACGCATAGGCCTTCAACAGGAACGCAAGTTCACACTATGCATAGTCCTTCAACGGAAACGCAAGTTCACACTACGCATAGGCCTTCAACGGGAACGCAAGTTCACACTACGCATAGGCCTTCAGCAGTAACGCAAGTTCACACTACACATTGGCCTTCAACAGGAACGCAAGTTCACACTACGCATAGGCCTTCAACAGGAACGCAAGTTCACACTACACATTGGCCTTCAACAGGAACGCAAGTTCACACTACACATTGGCCTTCAACAGGAACGCAAGTTCACACTACACATTGGCCTTCAACAGGAACGCAAGTTCACACTACGCATAGGCCTTCAACAGGAACGCAAGTTCACATTATGCATAGGCCTTCAACGGGAACGCAAGTTCACACTGCACATAGGCCTTCAACGGGAACGCAAGTTCACACTATCCATAGGCCTTCAACAGGAACGCAAGTTCACACTATGCATAGGCCTTCAACAGGAACGCAAGTTCACACTACGCATTGGCCTTCAACAGGAACGCAAGTTCACACTACGCATTGGCCTTCAACAGGAACGCAAGTTCACACTGCACATAGGCCTTCAACGGGAACGCAAGTTCACACTATGCATAGTCCTTCAACGGAAACGCAAGTTCACACTACGCATAGGCCTTCAACGGGAACGCAAGTTCACACTACGCATTGGCCTTCAACGGAAATGCAAGTTCACACTACGCATAGGCCTTCAACAGGAACGCAAGTTCACACTACGCATAGGCCTTCAACAGGAATGCAAGTTCACACTACGCATTGGCTTTCAACGGGAACGCAAGTTCACACTACGCATTGGCCTTCAACGGGAACGCAAGTTCACACTACGCATAGGCCTTCAACTGGAACGCAAGTTCACACTACGCATAGGCCTTCAACAGGAACGCAAGTTCACACTACGCATAGGCCTTCAACAGGAATGCAAGTTCACACTACGCATTGGCTTTCAACAGGAACGCAAGTTCACACTACGCATTGGCTTTCAACACAAGTTCCTGTTCTTGGGAGGGATCTACAGTTGAGAGAGGGGTCTCTGTTGCTGGCTGCTGGAGGTTTTAATCATTCTGGCTGCTAGGAGATCTATTTTTGCTGGTGGGAGTCCATAGTTGCTGGACTTGGAACACAAGTTCACACTGCACATAGGCCTTCAACGGGAACGCAAGTTCACACTACCCATAGGCCTTCAACAGGAATGCAAGTTCACACTACGCATAGGCCTTCAACAGGAACGCAAGTTCACACTATGCATTGGCTTTCAACAGGAACACAAGTTCCTGTTCTTGGGAGGGATCTACAGTTGAGAGAGGGGTCTCTGTTGCTGGCTGCTGGAGGTTTATTCATTCTGGCTGCTAGGAGATCTATTGTTGCTGGTGGGAGTCCATAGTTGCTGGACTTGATCTGTTATTTGCTGGGGGTCATATTTTTGTGGTGGTCTGTTGTTGCTGCGGGAGATCATTTGTTGCTGCGGGGTCTTTGTTGCCTGCTGCAGGGGATCTATTTTACTGCTTTTCTTGTTATCAACAACACATTCTATATAAATGACTGAATGCCACAGAATGATGCATGATTAGGGGTGGACTGGCAACTCATGGGGCCCCCGGGCAATAGGGGATCATGGGGCCCATGTGTCCTTGCCCAAACTCAAAAAAGCCTATGAAAAAGGTACCAGGGGCATCTCTTGGGGCCCCCTACTGACCCCAGGCCCTCGGGCAGTGGCCGAGTTTCCAAATGGTCAGTCTGCCCCTGTGCATGATTCTGTGTTCACTAAAAGGGTGGTACTTAAAGGTGGGTAGGGGGTGGAACCAAGGGAGAGTGCTTGGTGGTAGGTAGGGGGCAAAGACATAGGGTGCCATAACAAATTCCATACAAATTATTTAGCATCACAAATTTATACTTGGTTCTGTATTCTCTAAAAAGGGGCGGTACTGGGAGGTGGGTGGGGATTGAAACAAAGGGGTGGTGCTCGAAGGCAGGTAGGGGCAGAGACAAGGGGTGATTTGAAAGGGGGGGAGTACCTGAACCTATTCACTGAGAAAAAAAGCCCTGGTATGAAAATAATGCCCACATGGAAGAAAAATATGTCTTAAATATATTTTTTAAATATTCTTCCCAAATATATTGACATATATTTGAAATACTACAATTTTTGCCATATTCGATATATTAAAAAAAAAAAAAAGTCCTAATTCTACACCCACAGTTAATCCAGAGGAAGATGAAAAAACCCAGCAAAGCACGATTTAATTTGCTCCTTCAGGGGAAAAAATTCCTTCCTGATCCCCCGAGAGACAATCGGATATTCCCTGGATCAACTTTCCCTATAAATGTTATATCCAGTTATATTCTGTGTATCCAAGAAAGAATCCAGGACTTTCCTACAGCAATCCACTGAGCTGGTCACAACCAACTCTGGAGGGAGTCTATTCCACATTCTCACAGCTCTCACTGTGAAGAAACCTTTCCGTGTTTGGAGATTCCATTTCTTTTCCTCCAGACGTACATAGGGAGGGTCGAGCTCAGGGGTGGGCAAACTTTTTGACTTGAGGGCCGCAATGGGTTCATATATTGGACCCGGGGGCCGGACCAAGAGTAGATGAATGATGTGTATGTGTCATCCATAGTAAGTATAGTAATATTCCCCCATAGTAAGCATAGTAATTAATCCCCCATATAGTAATTCATCCCCCATAGTAATTCATCCCCCATATAGTAATTCATCCCCCATATAGTAATTCATCCCCCATAGTAATTCATCCCCCATATAGTAATTCATCCCCCATATAGTAATTCATCCCCCATATAGTAATTCATCCCCCCTATAGTAATTCATCCCCCATAGTAATTAATCCCCCATATAGTAATTCATCCCCCATATAGTAATTCATCCCCCATAGTAATTCATCCCCCATATAGTAATTCATCCCCCCTATAGTAATTCATTCCCCATATTAAGTCCCCAAGTCCCCCCTGTGTCAATTCACTTACCTTTGCTCCGCGCGTTCCTCTCGCCGTGTTCCCGCGCCGTTCCGGTGTAGCATGAAAATCTGTCTCCTATGAGGATCTGTCCCCCTCGACGTATCTGCGCATGTGCCAGTTTCAGGCATTAGCAGCCGATCGGCGATCTCCGGCACATGCGCAGATACGTCGAGGGGGACAGATCCTCATAGGAGACAGATTATCATGCTACACCGGTCTCCTGACAGCCATCCTGACAGTATCACGCTCCACGGGCCGGATTAAAAGGTCCGCCGGGCTGTAGTTTGCCCATTGCTGGTCTAGCTAGAACTGAACAAACTAGCACTAAAAAAAAAAAAATGGAGAGGGGGGACACAGGGAGAAAAACCAAAATCACATAGTAAACATAGTGTAGTAGCTCCAAACATCCACATCGTACTACTAAACCATGATGATGATTAAACTGAACAAATGCCCCCGCGATGCGTATTATGTGCGTTACCGTACCGGCAGAGTGTAGGTGAGTCCTCGTTAAATAATTTTTCAGTGCGTTAGCCGATTACCAGGAACATTAGCGGCTTGAAAAGGATTTTATCCCCTTCGTTGCAACTGAAGTTTCCCTTTAAAAAAGCCGGAAGGGTTCGGTAGCTCGGTACGGCGAGCGATTTGCGGCGCCGCTTTATGTCAGCTGACACTTTCTCCT